GTGCGGGGCGGCTGTGTGTGCCAGGGCGGGGGGAGAGGACCTCGTGTACGTGCTGACAGCCTGTCGTCCTGTGTGGAGCAGTGTCCTCCCCGCTGCCTCAGGCATGGGCTGCTCAGGGCCCAGGTCTGCTCCTGGTACGTTAGGACAGCCTGTCTCCATGCTGCTGCCTCTGTTCTTGCGGGAGTTATGGTCTCAGGGCCCTGAGCCAGTCAGCTTCAAATCCCTTACCTTCCCAGAAATGTGGGGGTGTGCCTGTGAGATGGCGAAGATGACACTGTCCCAGGCACCAAGCCACCCCTCCTGCCCCAGCCAGCCAGCCTGCCTCTGCGGACCCTGTCCAGCCGGGCCTGGGCCGCCCCTCCTGCTGCCTCTTGACTTCTGAGATGCTGTGGGTCATGCTGTTCTAGCCCCACGTCACTGCTAAGGAGGCTGAGGCCAAGGTTGTGGAGCCCATGCCCCGGGCAGGGTGAAGCACAACTACCCACTGGGGCCCCTGTTCTGAGGAGGGGTCTGGTGGAGCCCAGGGCGTGGGAGGTGGGGCAGGCACACAGGATGTCTCCCCTCTGGGGGGCACTGGAGCCCCTGTCCTGGGACAAGGACACACTCCCCAGCCCTGAGTGTGGGACCACCCCTCATTCTCGTCTCTCCCCAAACTTGGAAAAACATGAGGAGAGACTTTTGCTTTAAAAAATATTTTCAATAATAAGACATCCTATTTTGAGGGGATTAGGAATAGAGATAAATATGAAACCTTTTTTTTTTGATAAAACACGTATCAAGGACATGTTTCCAGGTTTAAAGTTCATGAACGTATAAAACAGAAATTGGGTCCTGGCACCTTGAGTGCAGGATTCTGAGGTTCTACATCTGGTTCTGAGGTTCTGGGTTTGGTTCTGGGGTACAGACAGCTCAAGTAGGAGGTCTCCTTATGTCACCAAACTACACAACGCGGAGGTTCTATATCCACCAAAGGCTGGTCTGGGGCCCATCAGCTGCCTGGGAGGGGGCCCCAACGAGGCTCATGGGTCCAGCATGCCTCCTGGGGGGACCCTGCTCTCACCACACAAGAGCCCCCAGCCAGGAGCACCATGCCAGCCAGCTGTGGGCGATGAGGGGGCTTCTGACCCGCCCTGCCCCTGGAGTTCCTGCTCGGGACGGTGGGCAGAGCCAGAAGACACAGCCCTCCCCACTGGGTCTAGGACGGCCTCCAGGGCTGGGGCCTGCAGGCGGGCGCCCTGACAGCAACCCGGCATCTGCCAGGGGAGGCGGCGGGGTCTGTGCTGCCGGGCAGCCTAGGCCTCGGAGGAGGACCTCGAGGGTCCCTGCAGCAGCAGGGCCCGGTAGGCGGGAGAGCTGAGGAAGCGTGGGTAGGAGTCCCGGTGCATGAGCGTGTATATCTGCAGCTGCGCGTCGTCGAACGTGTGCGCCGACGGCTCCTGCATCTTCTTGTTGATGCCCTCCCGCACGCGGGAGTCCAGGCTGACCTGCGGGACAAGGCGCTGGGGTCAGGGGGCTGGGGAGGGGCCTTCCCCACCTGGTGCCGGAGCAGGCTGCCCCCTGCCCGTGCCGGCGGCCGGCGCACCTCCCTGGGGGACAGGATGGACACGTAGTCCTCGTAGATGAGCCGCGCCTTCTCGTCCACCATATGCTGGTTGGCCTCGGCCTTCAGCTCCTCGCAGGCCAGCCAGAAGAGCATGTTCTCCTCGCTGTACTCCGTCCGCAGGAAAGCCCGGAACACACTGCGTCCCGCTGGGCTGTGCATCAGCTTGTCAAAGGACTGCGCCCAGCTCTGCACCTCCTCAGGACTTGGTGTGGCACTGTGAGCATCGGGCTGCGTTAGGCCTGAGTCTCCCGGCCTGGGCCCCCCAGCACACATACACCAGCCGGGTGGACTCACCACACTTCACAGCTGGGGAGGGGCTGCAGCTTGCTCTCCCGGGAGGCCTGCCATGCACGCCGCCGCTCTTCGTTCCTAGAGCAGGGAGGAAGCGGCACTGCCCTGGCACACGGGGCTTCCTGTCGGGCCCCCCCCCCCCCCGTTCCCCAGGGAATATGCCGTCCAGTTTGCTGTTCCTGCCACAGTGCCCAGGCAACAGACTCTGCCCCAGTGGCTGGGACTTTCTGGCCTTCCAGGAGGGACCCTTTGGCTCCTGGTGCTCCTCCCCATCCCTGGCCCACTGGGCAGGACCCTGCTCCTAGGCCTGATCTTGACCCCCGTCCCTGTCCCTCTGATGGGGCCGCACGCTGCAGGTCTGGCGTGCCGGCAGTGTCTTGTCGGCTGACGCGAGTGAGGGTCCCAAACCCACATGTCCACACCAGTCAGGTCCTGGAGCCTGACCCCTGGCTCTCTCAAGGGAAGCTTCTTCCCTGCCTTGGCTACTAGCACCGTCAGGGCTGGACCCAAATCCACACCCGGCTGACCTCTCTCCAGGGCACCTGGATGGCTGGCAGACGTCATGTACCCAGACGTCCTGACTCCTCTGGACGAGGCCCCTGGACTCCTCCCACCCCCCTCCTGACTGTCCCCCGCCCACCCCCACATTGCTCATGGGTCAGCTGACCCCACGTGGGTCCTGAAGCACTGTCCCCTCATCAGCCAGGGCCTGAAGCCTGAGTAGGGCCAGGCTTCTGCAAGGCAGGAAAACATCCACCAGCTCCCCTACCCTCCTAGAAAATCTGTTATCATTTGGGAGCCCCACTCCCACCCCCACAGGAATGCCCAGAGACCACCCCTCCAACCCTGTGCTCTTTTACCCCTGCTCACGCTGTCTGGGAAGCTCTTGGCCATCACCCAGGGCCAGTGGTTCCCTCTTTGGGTCTCTGCTCGAAAGTCCCTCCACCCCACACAGTCTGGGGGGTTCTGTGCCTCTTTCTTTCTTTCTTTTCTTGAGACAGTTTCGCTCTTGTTTGCCCCGGCAGAAGTGAAATGGCAGAATTTCGGCTCACCACAACCTCCGCTTCCCAGGTTCAAGCAATTCTCCTGCCTCCCAAGTAGCTGGGATTACAGGTGCCCACCACCACGCCTGGCTAATTTTGTATTTTTAGTAAAGATGGGGTTTCGCCACGGTGGCCAGACTGGTCTTGAACTCCCGACCTCAGGTGATCTGTCCGCCTCGGCTTCCCAGAGTGCTGGGATTACAGGCGTGAGCCACCACACCTGGCCTGTGCCTGTCTTACTCCACTACAGGCACCCAGGGCCCAGCCTGGGCTGGCCCACAGCAGCATCGATAAGCACATGCTGTGTGAACGGAAGCATGCGTGTACACAGCAGCTGGATGCACCCTTGGCAAGACAGGCACAAGAACCATACACAAGCCCCCTGAACCTCCCAGGGGCCCAGGCACCGGCCACTCATCACCAGGGCCCCACAGACCCTGGACAGGACAGGGCTGGCTGCGAGGTGGCAAGGACATCCTGCCTTCAGGGGATGCCTCATAAGCCACCACTGGGACCCCTCCTGGGTCTCCTTGGCCCCATACCCCTGGCCCCTCCCCAGCTGGGCACCCCAGGCCCCACTCACCAGGAGCAGCTACAGCAGCAGCACCAGCACAGGCAGCAAGGGTTGCGGCTGGGGGCCGCTGGAGGGGCTGCATCATGGCTGGACATTGAAGGGGGCCGGTCCGCCTCCTCTGGCCCTGTGCTCTGCGGGGACATGGGGCTACCTCAGCCTCCAGGTCAGAACCCACCAGACCCGCCACCTTTTGCCTACCCTCCCATGGGTGGCCCCTGCTCCCAGGGACATGACCATTCTGGCCTCCCAGGTGTTCAGGGGTCTCCCAACTCCTTGTGACCCCTCAGGTTGCCCCACCCCATCTCCCCCAGGGGAGCAGAGGCAGAGGGGAGGTGGCGTACCTGCTTCTCAGCCTCATGCGGGGTGGGCATGGGTGGGCAGAGGAGGTTGCCCAGGCTCCGTGGTGCCAGCTCTCAGACCCTCACCACAGCCTGGGGATCTGGGGAGAGGTGCCAAGGTTCCGACTGAGAACCAGAAACCTCAGCCCCCACCTGTCCCTTAGGAGGGGTCCTGAGGGTGTCTCCCTAGCTGGGCCTGCTCCTGCCTCTGGACCCGGCTCTCCCGAGGGCTTCTACACCTACTCTAAGCTTACAGCAGGGCTGGGAGGGGGCCCAGGGTCATGGAGGAGGGGACTGCAGCAGCTTGTGGCCCCTCCTCCCAGGCTGGGCCCCCACAGGAGGTTCCGGGACACCCCATCCGCTCAGTCCCTGGGAAGCCGGAAGCCTGGGTTCCTCTTTCTTGGTTTCCGGCTCCCAGCCCCTCCCAAAGGGGCCCCGAGAATCTGGGGCTACCAACTGATGCATGAGGGTGGTGGCCAGACTCGTTTCTAGGGTGTCAGGTGGGGAGGAGGCAGAGCAGCTCTCCCCCAAGAGTCCAGGTCTGTCTATAGGCCCTGGAGGTCTCAGCCAGGGCGGCAGGCTAGCCCTGTGGCATTGAGGATTTAAGTGGCACTCACGGCCGGACCTCCTGAGGGTATGGGAAGGGTTGCAGGGCCCTGGTGCTGAGGGACGTGCCCCCCAAACATGGTTCTTTGGTCCTGCTGTCTCCCACCCAAGACTTCCCGCCCTTCCTGCCCACTACCTCTAGGCTGTGAAACTGCTGTGGACCAAGGCCCTACCGCAGGGCACGCCAGCCAGGGAAGTGGGGGTGGCAGTGGGCGGGGGAACCCTGCTCCCCAGTCAAAGCCCGGAGTTGCTGACAGGCGCGGTGTGGCATGGCGTGTGTCCTTCCTGGTGTTTGGCTGCGCTGTCTGCAAGGGAGGTGCACCAGGAACGCCAAGGCCGTGGGTTGCCCTCTTGCTACCCAAGATACCACTTCGAATCCCAAGTCTCCTTGGGTGATGGCACAGGGTGCCGATCTGCCCTGGAGGTGGTTGTGAACAGCCGCGCCCACCTCTGCGCAGGGTAGGGCCCTCTGGGCCTCCATGCACACCGCCGGCCTCCTCATCCGCCGGCCTCCTCCCTGGCCAGGAGGCTCCAACTTGGTTCAACTTCAGTGTCTCACTCTTCGCCCTCTCTGATGTGCCCCCCCTAGCTTGTGGCCGTTGAGTGCTTGTTTCTGTCTGGTTGGCCTCTCTTGGCCTCTCTTGGGACAGGGTGCAAATGGAGCTCAGAGGAGACAATGCTGGAGTTCTGCACTCTTAGGACACCCACTGCCCCGGGGCCTGGGCATGCAGAGGCTACTGCCCTGGCCCAAGTCTGGAGCAGGTGCAGGGGACCTCAGCCCCTTACCACCTGCCCACCTTCCTCTGAGACTGTTGGTCCCACCGGCTCCTAGCAAGTACATGAGGGGACAAAAAGCAGCCCTGCAGCTGGGCTTCCTTTTAGGGGTCAAGTTTCTAGGGAAAGGAAGGGGTGTGGCACCCTGAGGTTTGGTAGCTGTACCAGACGGGGCTGTGACTTCCCCAGGCGGCAGTTCTTCCTCCTCTCTGTCCCCACCCAGAGTCCTCCCCCACCCTGGATACTGTCCCTCCTGGGCTAACAACTCCACCCCGGCTCTGAACTAGAGGAGAGGATGTGTCTAGGGGTGCAGGGCCAGGGTGCCAGGGGCTTCGTTTGCTGCAGAGGAGGGAGCCAACCCCTTCCTTCCCAGTTGCAGGCCCTGGACCTGGTCACCATCCCTGGACCTGGCTTCCTGTACCCTTCTCTGGTCAACTGGGACCACCTATGTCCCCAGGCTACTCCCCTTCTCTCCTGGGGGATACAGAGTCTCAACTAGGGTTCCCCTGCTCATCATCCTGGTACTGGGGATCCCCCTTCCCCAGTCCCCCAGGCTTTGGCCCCCAAGTCTGGGATGGGAGAGGCGGGACAGGAGGCACGTCTGGTCTCTGGGGATAGAGGCTCCCTTGGGAGTGGCTGCTGCTTTGCTCCACAGAAGGAAAAAGAACGTCCCAGAGCCTGCCCAGTCCAAAAAAAGAATAAGAAAATGTGACAATCCCAGAAAAAAATGTCACAACCTTTGAGGGGGGGTTGAGAGGGGCTCCATTCTCAGTTCTGTTCCTGCCCATGGCCTTTCCCATCTGCCACCCTCCCCATCTGGCTTGGGCGAACCCTAGCCTGGTCCCTCCAAGGAAGGCCAGCCCTCCCCAGCCCACCTCTAAAACAGTGGTGGTGACCCACCCACCGCGCTCCTCTCTCCGCTCTTAGGGTCCAGTTTGGGAGCCTGTGTCCTCCTCCAGCCTCTGACGCCCCCACCTCTACCTCAAGGCGCCCTACTCACCAGCGACCCAAAGGCGGGGTGGGGGCAGGAGGGGCCAGGTTGGGTGTGGGCCCCACCCTGGCTGCCGAAGGGGCGTGCACTGCAGCAGCAGGGACTCGAGTCAGACGGCAGGAGGGACTCCTGCCGCGCTCTGGAGGGAGGCTAGCGCCAGGAGCCCCCGATGGGCTGGGGCCGGGGGCGCAGCACCTTCCCTGCAGCTCGCGGGGCTGAGTGGCGGCCAGATCCGGCGAGGTGGGGGCTGGGGCGGACAGGGTGTCCCGCCCCGGCCCCTCCTCAGCAGGCAGATGGGGGGAGGAAGACGCGGAAACCTGGGTTCTTCCGGCCCCCACCTTTGAGCAATCACTTCCCCAGGCTTTGAGCTCCAGAAAAAGGGGAACCCAGCCGTAGCGCCCCCTCCCCCACGCGCGGGGGCCGGGCTGCAGTTCCACTGCGGCCCAGGGTCCACGTGGACCTGGCGGCGGGAGCCCGTGGGTTCGAGGCCCGCGCGCCGCCTCCTGCGGCTCCCGCCCCGCTCGGTCCCCGGGCCCGGGCAGGGAGGGGCAGGGCCGCCGTCCCCGCGCCGCGCGCGCGCACTCACCAGCCGCGCTCCCGAGCCACTCGCGCCGCCGCCGGCCCGCGCGCTCCGAGGTCCCGCCAGGCCGTCGGGGGGGG